TCTTCCTTCTTTGTGCCCTTATACCATCAGATCCTTTATTATGTATAGAACTTTTTTGAGATATAATTTACAGAGCATACAATTCACCCCTTTAAAGTATACGATTCAATGAGTGGTTTTTCGTATATTCAGAGTTGAGTAACTACCACCTATAGTCAATTTTAGAACATATTCATCATCCCAGAAAGAAGCCTCATACCCTTTATCTACCCTCTCCCCAGTCTTCTCACCCCTTACACCTCTTTGCCCTAAGTAACAAGTAATATATTTTCTATCTCTACAGATTTGCATATTCTGGACGTTTCATATAAATGGAATTATATACTGTGTGGTCCTTTATGACTACTTTCACTTAGCATAATGCTTTCAAAATCTATTCATGTATCAGTATTTCATTCTGTTTCATGGTAAATGTATTCTATTATATGGATAGACCACACTTTATTTATGAATTCATCAGTCAATGGACATTTGGACTGTTTCTACCTTATAGGTATTCAGAATAGTGCTACTGTGAATATTTGTTTATAAGTTTTAGTGTGGACATAATGTTTTCAAATCTTTTGAGTGTATACCCAGGAGTAGAATTGCTGGCTCACATGTTAACTCTAGCTTTTTGAGGTACTGCCAGACTGTTTTGAAAAGCTGCTACACCAGTTCAGATGTGTACCCGCGTGAGGGTTCTAATTTCTCTACGTCCTCACTAATACTTGTTAATCTGACCTTTTTTCTGTTGTGCTAAAATATACGTAACAAATTTACCATTTTATTTTTTAAAAGATTTTATTTATATTTATTTGAGAGAGGAGGTGGTGGGGAGGGGAGGAGCAGAGGGAGAGAGACAAGCAGACTCGATGCTGAGCATGGAGCCTGACCTGGGGCTCAGTCCCACAACCCCAAGATCATGACCTGAGCCGATACCAGGAGCTGGATGCTTAACCAGCTAAGCCACCCAGGCACCCCACAAATTTACCATTTTAAACCATTTAAAAAAAAAAGATTTATTTATTGGAGGGGGGCAGAAGGAGAGGGAGAGAGTCTCAAGCAGACTCTGTGCTGAGTGTAGAGCCCGACATGGGCTCCCATCTCAAGACCCTGAGATCATGACCTGAGCCGAAACCAAGAGTTGGGCCCTCAACCAGCTGTGCTACCCAGGCACCCCATTTTAACCATTTTTAAGTGTACAGTTTAGTGGCATTAAATACATACACATGATTGTGCAATTATTACCATTACACATATCCAGAACCTTCTCATATTTTTTACACTGAAAATCCGTACCCATTTGATAAGAACTTTTAGCCCCTGATCAATACTATTCCACTTTTTTCTCTAAGAATTTGACTATTCTAGGTACCCCATATAAGTAGAATTATACAATATTTGTTAATTTGTGTCTGGCTTATTTCACTTAGCATAATGGCTTTAAAGTTCATCCATGTGTCAGTATTTCATACATTTTCAAGGCTGGTAATATTCCAATGTATGTATATACCACATTTTGTTCATCCTTCAGTGGGCATTTGGGTTCTTTCCATGTTTTGGCTGATGTGAATAACACTGCTATGAACATGGTGTTCAAATATCTGTTCTGACTTCTTTTTTTTTTTTAAGTTTTATGTTTATTTAAGTAATCTCTATACCCAACATGAGGCTTGAACTCACAACCCCAGCCAAGATGAAGGGCGCATGCTCTTCCACCTGAGCCAGGCAGGCACCCTTCTGACTTTTTATTACTTGTCAGATCCTTTTGTTTTGTCTTTAAATTTTTTTTTTAAGATTTTATTTATTTATTTGACAGTATACAAGCAGAAGGAGCAGTAGGGAGAGGGAGAAGCAGGCTCCCCCTGAGCAGAGAGCTGTACATGGGGCTTGATCCCAGGACCCTGGGATCACGACCCAAGCTGAAGGCAGATGCTTAACCAACTGAGCCATCCAGGCGCCCCTAAAAAAAATTTTTTTTTTTCAAATTTTGTTTTTTTGATTCCCAGTGTTAGTACCTTAGTTTAGGTTCTAGTCATCTCGCTTATACAGTATTTTGGTAATCTCTGGTCTACTGAGTCTTCTGTCTGTTTCCTCTTGAATGTGTTATTCCAAGGTCAAGGAGATTTATATTTCTAAGACCCAAAACTGAGCCTGTGGTCCCACAGTTTAAATGAGGCTCCTCAATGCCAAGAGCTTACAGAATGGTCAGGCTCTTAACATGGCATTAAGCTCTTTCAGGTGTAGCCACTGCTTACCTAAGTTTTTGTGATTTAGTGTTCTGAACTACTTTTAGTTCTCAGCTGTTTGTTTATTCATTCATGCCTTTGAAAGTTCTGGGCTTTCATACTGTAATTCTCTCCTTAACAAATTATTTACCTTTAGAAATTCTGCTCAGGTGTCCCATTTGTCCTCCAGTTAATGATCTGCACTTTTTTTTTGGTTCCATTTATTTATTTGAGAGAGCTAGAAAGCATGCACATGGGTGAGGGGAGGGGCAGAGGGGAGGGAGTCTTCAAACTGACTCCCCGCTGAGTATGGGGGGGGGGGGGGCTTGATCCCAGGATTTGAGATCATGACCTGAACTGAAATCAAGAGTCGGCTGCTTAAACGACTGAGCCATCCAGGTGCCAGAATGATCTCCACTTTTTAATGTTATTTTTAAAAAGTGAATGTTTGGTTAAGGGGTCTGCTCCTGATTTTGGCTCACATCATGAGATCAAGACCCATGTTGGGGCTCCATGGTCAGCATGGAGTCTGCTTAAAAAATGCTTTCTCCCTCTCTCTGCTCCTCCCTCCATTCTTGCTCTGCTCTCTCTCTCTCATAAATAAATGATTGCAGGAACCATCAGCTTTCTCCACTCTGGATGTGCTACTCACTTCTGAAAGCACTTAAAAAAATAAAAATAATAAAATGTTTATGCTACTGTAATTACCATATTCTTTTTACCATAATCTATTTGTATATCTCTTACCCACCAGGCAGTAAGTTTCTTTTTTGTCCTCTTTAGTGCTGGCACATCATAAGTGTTCAGGCTGTGTTGATTGAATTTACTTAATTATGGGAGAATTATGTACTTCTCAAATTGACCTTCTGAACTACTATATAGGTACATATATATCTTATCAATTTTAATCCCCCTTTATAGGTGGTTTCTACGGAAGGATTTAATTTAATAGGTTGAGACTAAGCCTGACTAAGGAGTTTAGTGTTTTCATAGAACTTACTTTTGAAATGGATTAAAAATCAAAATTCAACCAGGTTGTAATTTTATTATTAAGCACTATTTTTGTAGAAAAATAGCCATTTCAACTAAAGTTTATGAAAGCTTATAGGTACTCTTCTTTCTCTGGTTGTATAGTTTTGAAATTAGCATTTGTAAAGAAGCTGCCTTTGAAATTTACTTGATATTTTGGCTACTCTTCCAATTACTGTGGATACCTGAGTTTTGACAGTATTTACAGCTCTTTATACTTGTTCTAATATTGAGTTTATACATCTCCCTTCCCCTTTCTTTTCTTTTTCTTTTTCTTTTCCTTTCTTTTCCTATTCTGAAGGAAGTAGACTTTTCCTGTTTTTTATTCAAAGAGATGTTTGGATTCTTTTTTTGTTTTTAAAAAAATGGTTAAGGGAATTAGATGTGAGTTTCTATGTAAGTGAATTTTTATATTAGATGATTTCCTTTTCTAAATAAAGGCCAATTATTACACATTGTAAAAAAGAAAGAAAACATTATTACACATTGTGTAGTCCTGATATATTTCTTTTGTGACCCATTTTTTACTGGTATGAAAAATGCCGAAATGTAAATTTGATTATAATCTTTTCTAGACAAGATCTGTATTGTTTTATTTTTGTTAGTTGTATGTTTAGAACTTTGGACAACTAAGAAACTATAAAATAACTGGATTTCTTGTTTTTATTGCTCTCGGGATTTCCTTTTTTGCTTTAAATTTCTGTGTTTTGAAATATCAGGTTCTGCTTTTTCTGCAAAGCCAATGTTTCATTCTGAATTTGCCCTCTCTGAAGTTATTCTACTTACCATGTGTATAAAAGGGGTATTATACTACTTATTTCATAGAGTTGGTTGTTGTGAAGGCTAAGAATCCATGCAAAACACCTAGTGTAAGTGAGTGCCTAGTCCATAGTTGCCATTCTGTAAATGTTAGCACATCATACATGGCAAGGCGTTGAAGCATTTTTTTCCTCCCTTATGTTTTAGCAGAGTGTTTTAAAATTTGTTTGGTGGGGCGCCTGGGTGGCTCAGCCATTAAGCGTCTGCCTTCAGCTCGGGTCATGATCTCAGGGTCCTGGAATTGAGCCCCGCATCGGGCTCCCTGCTCCATGGGAAGGCTGCTTCTCCCTCTCCCACTCCACTTGCTTGTGTTCCCTCTCTCGCTATGTCTCTCTCTGTCAAATAAATAAAATATTAAAAAAAAAAATTTGGTGGTTGGTTCTAATTGATAATTATATTTGTGGTGTTGTGACTTATTAAATGCCCTTTGTATTTTCTGGTAACAATGGTATAAGACTTTATAGACTGAGGATAAAAGGAACTTAGTTGATTGATTAGTCAATCATAGAACAAATTGATATATCAATCGCATATCACCAAACCAAACCACTGAAGTTGTTTCATAATCTCTTACGCATTTTCTTGCCACATGGATTGAATATTTAAAATTCCCCCCTCTGACCTCTTCTTTTTTTTAATAAGATTTTATTTATTTATTTGACAGAGAGAGACAGCGAGAGAGGGAACACAAGCAGGGGGAGTGGGAGAGGGAGAAGCAGGCCTCCCACTGAGCAGGGATCCCGATGCGGGGCTTGATCCCAGGACCCCAGGATCATGACCTGAGCCGAAGGCAGACACTTAATGACTGAGCCACCCAGGCGCCCCTCTCTCTCTTTTTGTTTTTTAAGTAGAGATTTCTTTGGCAGTGGTGGTATGGCTGTTCTCTTGAAGATGAACAGTCATCGTTTAAAAGTAATGACACTGGTTCTTATTTTTATCTAGTTTCAAACCGGAGGCCCTATCGACAGTACTACGTGGAGGCTTTTGGGGACCCTTCAGAGAGAGCCTGGGTGGCTGGAAAAGCAATCGTCATGTTCGAAGGCAGACATCAATTTGAAGAGCTACCTGTTCTTAGGAGAAGAGGGAAGCAAAAAGAAAAAGGATATAGGCACAAGGTAAAGAAATAAAGCCTCTCTAATTATTTTCTTTGGGCAGGGAAGAGGCAAAGAAGAAGTCTTATATTATTTAAATATAAGTTATTTCCTTTGGTAGTAGGATATTTGTGAGAAAGTAAATGAAAGCAATGTTTTTCCTGGGGTGAAATTGGGCTAGCCTTCCATATATTTACACTCAGTTTTTTGAGAAATAATTTCAGATAACTTTTGCCATGTCACTGAGATATGACAGTATAAAATGACACGACCAGTCTTCTTTGTTCATATCTTTTGTAAGAAGAAAATGATCCTTGAAATATTCTACTTCTCCCTCTCTGGATTAATTATTTCTCTTAAAAATGAGAGAGATAAAACTAAACATTTTTGTTTGTTGTCTTGGGTTTTTGTTTGTTTTTATTTTCATCTGGTGCTCATCATAGACAAATGCAGTCCTTAATCCCTATCACCTACTTCACCCATCCTCCTCCAGGTAACCATCAGTTTTTCTCTGTAGTTTAAAGAGTCTGTTTATTTGTTTGTCTTTCTGTCTCTTTTTTCCCCTTTGCTCTTTTGTTTCTTAAATTACACATATGAATAAAATAATACGGATTTGTCTCTCTCTGACTGACTTATTTCACTTAGCACTGTACTCTGTAGCCCTATCCAAGTTGTTGCAAATGGTGTTGTTTTGGTTTTTGTTTGTGGTTGTTAATACTTAAAGTTGCAGTTTCAGCCCAGTTACGTTTTAATAAAGAATATTGTGTTTTTGTTCTATTTGATGTTTTGTGTTAAAGTTGGGTGAATAAAATTTTGGTTTATTTCTTTTAATATTCCTTTGTAGTTAATTCTGGAAGGTGAAATAGTTCCTGTTAGGTTGGTGTTTCAGGCTTTTCTGTGTATAAATACTTAATAATCGTTATTAGGATAAGTTAGAGTCATTATGCAGTCCCGTCTGTTTCTTAGTTGAATTCTCTGAGGATTAGTGTCTTCATCTTTAAAACTAGTGTAATAATATGTACACTAGAACTGTTGGAAGAATTAGAAATAATGATGAATATTTAATATGTCATAAGTTTGATGCTCTAAAACAACTAGTATATGTTATTGTTATGATGAAGGAGACTTACTGCATCAGTTCCAATACTTTGGGTGGTTGGTGGTAGGGAGGTGTTAAGAGTTTTTGTGTCAAGCCTTTAGTTAATGTAGCTTAACCAACCCCCTTTTCAAAGGAGTTCAGTAGGGCTTTCAGATTCTGGAAAGTTGTTTTACTCTTGTCACAGTTATGAGAATTAATGAGTGTGTGTTTGTGTGTAAAATAAATTAAATGGTCAGCTCATTGCTTTATAAGAGGAGGTTACCTTTCCAGTGACCTGAATTTTTACATGCTCAGTGGAACATCCCTTTTATAAGTATTAAAGTATAGTTGGCTAATAGTTAGACCCTTGACTAATAATGATTGTATGAAGCCAAGGAGGGAACTAAGAGTTTGAAAAATTAGTTATATTTCACAGAGCATCAGTGTCTCCATCTGTGAGGAATCAAGAAAGGCACATATGTAATACCCAAGGTGTTTTGGTGTCTCTGGACAACATGACTCAGCCCAGGAGACTGCTTGGTTATAATCCAGATTTTATGTAACATGTATAGAATAATCAGATACATCACCAGAAATAAAGGGGCCTAGGGAGAACCAGAGGTTCAAATTTAGGGTCTCCTAGGGTAGATCTGACCTCATTTCTCCTATCCTCATTTTTCCATGTTCATCTTTTTTAGCCTTTTGCTTTCTCATACAACTGAGCAAGTGCTTGGCCTTTGTAAGTCAGGAAGAAAATAAATCCTTATTTTAAAGTGTGGAGGGGTAAATAGGAAGGGTCTGATTATTCCTTGATTTAGTAATGTAATGTTGATTAGTAATGCAGTCCTAGTTATGGTCCCCTCTTTTGTAGAGGAGGGAGAGCAGAGGATGTGTGGGATTAATCTTTCTTCTAATGACAGATCTTAGTGGTAGAAGTAGATTCAAAGAATCCCCCATTGTTTATTTAGGCTCTGGATGAAAAATGGGTGCTAACCACCTGGCTGGTACCATAAAAGTACCTTGAAGAAGTTACAAGGCTTGGAAAGGCTTCTTATTTAAGAGGTCTTTACTGATCATCTCTCTATTCCCTTTTGTATTTATTTGATAAGTGATAATCTTTTTCTCCTTTAAATTTAAGGTTCCTCAGAAAATTTTGAGTAAATGGGAAGCCAGTGTTGGTCTTGCTGAACAATATGATGTTCCCAAAGGGTCAAAGAACCGAAGATGTGTCACCAGTTCAATCAAGTTGGACAGTGAGGAGGACATGCCATTTGAGGACTGTACAAATGATCCTGAATCAGAACATGACCTGTTACTTAATGGCTGCTTGAAATCTCTGGCTTTTGACTCTGAACATTCTGCAGATGAGAAGGAAAAGCCTTGTGCTAAGTCTCGAGCCAGAAAGAGTTCTGATAATCCAAAAAGGACTAGTATGAAAAAGGGCCACATGCAATTTGAAGCACATAAGGAAGAACGAAGGGGAAAGATTCCAGAGAACCTTGGCCTAAACTTTATTTCTGGGGATGTATCTGATAAGCAGGCCTCTAATGAACTTTCCAGGATAGCAAACAGCCTCACAGGGTCCAACACTGCCCCAGGAAGTTTCCTGTTTTCTTCTTGTGCGAAAAACACAGCAAAGAAAGAATTTGAGACTTCAAATTGTGACTCTTTACTGGGCTTGTCTGAGGGTGCCTTGATCTCTAAACGTTCTGGGGAGAAGAAGAAACTCCAACGAGGTTTGGTGTGTAGTTCAAAAGTGCAGCTCTGTTACATTGGAGCAGGTGATGAAGAAAAGCGAAGTGATTCCATTAGTATCTGTACCACTTCTGATGATGGAAGCAGTGATCTGGATCCCATAGATCACAGTTCAGAGTCTGATAACAGTGTCCTTGAAATTACAGATGCTTTTGATAGAACAGAGAATATGTTATCTGTGCAGAAAAATGAAAAGGTAAAGTATACTAGGTATCCTGCCACAAACACTAAGGTAAAAGCAAAGCAGAAGTCCCTCATTACTAACTCACATACAGACCACTTAATGGATTGTACTAAGACAGCAGAGCCTGGAACTGAGACATCTCAGGTTAATCTCTCTGATCTTAAAGTATCTACTATTGTCCGCAAACCCCAATCGGATTTTAGAAATGATGGTTTCTCTCCAAAATTCAACACACCATCAAGCATTTCCAGTGAGAACTCACTAATAAAAGGTGGGTCTACAAATCAAGCTCTATTACATTCAAAAAGCAAACAGCCCAAGATCCGAAGTATAAAGTGCAAACATAAAGAAAATCCAGTTGTAGTGGAACCTCCAGTTACAAATGAGGACTGCAGTTTGAAATGCTGTTCTTCTGATACCAAAGGCTCTCCTTTGGCCAGCATTTCCAAAAGTGGGAAAGTGGATGGGCTAAAACTACTGAGCAACATGCATGAGAAAACCAGGGATTCAAATGACATAGAAACGGCAGTGGTGAAACATGTTCTGTCAGAGTTGAAGGAACTCTCTTATAGATCCTTAAGTGAAGATATGAGTGACTCTGGAACATCAAAGCCATCAAAACCATTACTTTTTTCTCCTGCCTCTGGTCAGAATCATATACCTATTGAACCAGACTACAAATTCAGTACATTGTTAATGATGTTAAAAGATATGCACGATAGTAAGACCAAGGAGCAACGGTTAATGACTGCTCAGAACTTGGTCTCTTATCGGAGTCCTGGTCTTGGGGACTGTTCTACGAGTAGTCCTGTAGGTGCATCTAAGGTCTTGGTTTCAGGAAGCTCCACTCACAGTTCAGAAAAAAATGGAGATGGCACTCAGAACCCAGTCCGTCCTAGCTCTAGTGGGGGTGACTCTGCAGTGTCTGGAGAGTTGTCTGTATCTGTACCTGGCTTAGTGTCTGACAGAAGAGACGTCTCTGCTTCTGGTAAAAGTCGTTCAAACTGTGTTACTAGGCGCAACTGTGGGCGATCAAAACCATCATCTAAATTGCGAGATAGTTTTTCAGCCCAGTTGGGAAAGAACACATTGAACCGTAAAGCCTTAAAGACAGAGCGCAAAAGAAAACTCAACCGACTTCCAGCTGTAACTCTTGAGGCTGCACTGCAGGGAGACAGAGCAAGTGGAGGTTCAGAGAATGGTTCCTCAAGAGGTGGGCTAGAAGACCCTGGTAAAGAGGAACCCCTTCAGTTAATGGGCCATTTAACAAGTGAAGACAGTGCCCATTTTTCCAGTGTTCATTTTGATAACAAAGTCAACCAGTCTGACTCTGATAAAATTCCTGAGAAAGCCCCCTCTTTTGAAAACAGAAAAGGCCCAGAGGTGGATACTGAAATGAACAGTGAGAATGATGAACCCAATAGTGTAAATCAAGCGGTGCCTAAAAAGCGGTGGCAGCGTTTAAACCAAAGGCGCACTAAACCTCGGAAGCGCACTAACAGATTTAGGGAGAAAGAAAACTCTGAGGGTGCCTTTGGGGTTTTGCTTCCAGCTGACCCCGTAAAGAAGGGGGATGAGTTTCCAGAGCATAGACCCCCTACTTCAACAAACATACTAGAGGATACACTGGCAGATCCCAATCATGCCAGCCGCTTAGATTCAGTTGGACCACAGTTGAATGTTTGTGATAAATCCAGTGCCAGCATTGAAGAGATGGAAAAAGAGCCGGGAATTCCCAGTTTGACACCCCAGCCTGAGCTCCCTGAACCAGGTAAGGACTCCTGACAATGATAAGGATTAGAGAAGTAGTGGTGATAATGTTACCCTTCTGAAGTTGGCCTATTTTGATGGAAGGGCTAAGTGTAAATTGGGAGGAAAGTACTATCACTTGAAGAAAGAGCTTTGTGTACAAGATCTGAATTTTGAGGACCAGATTTCCATATACTTTCAGAAATTATGTTTACCAGAAGCTCTCTCTCTCTCTCTTTTTAAATTTTATTTATTTGAGATAGAGTGAGAGAGCGAGCACAGGAAGGGGAGCAACAGGCAGAGGGAGAAGTAGACTCCCCACTGAGCAGAGAGCCCGATATGGGGCTTGATCCCAGGACCCTAGGATCATGACCTGAGCCGAAGGCAGACGCTTAACCAACTGAGCTACCCCAGGTGTCCCAAACCCACGACCTTTTTAAATCTATGAAACTTTTTGGGACTCAGTCTGGCATTGCAGGTAATTGAGAGGCTCTGAGCCTAAAATTTAAGTATAGTTATTAGTTTACAGAAAGTGAATAGATTTTATTGAATGTTAGGCTTCCTTTACCACAGTTTAAGGAAGGTTCATTGATGATGTAGACAAAAGGGACATTTGCTTTTGGGAAAAAGAAAGTGTTCTGTAGTACTTATTTGAAGGCTTTAGATGTCTTAACTTCCCTTCTGTAACAAGGTTTGAGAACAACAAAAAACTGAAGTACCAGGGTATCTTACCTAAGCAGCAGAAGAAAAACAGCAGAAGTCTTTCAAGATATTAATATTACATACAATATAATTGTTGAGGGTAAAACTGACTATCCTTAAACATAAGATTCTCAAAATTGTTTACCATAGTAGATTTTGTTTTCTAACAGCTTTATTGAGGTATAACTCATGTACCATGAAATATCCATCAGTTTAAAGTTTATACTTCAGTGGTTTTTTTCATAGAATTGTACAATCATCAACACAAACAATTTTGGAATATTTCCTCACCCAGGAAAGAAACATAGTACCCTTTATTAACCTCCCTTCATTTCTCCCCAATCTGTAGATTTTCCTGTCCTGTACATTTCATGTTAATGGAATCATACAATATGTGGTACTTTAGTGTTTGGTTCTTTTAAGTTAGCATGTAGCAATGCTTTATTTTTATTGTGGTAAAAAATATATAAATTTACCTTCTGAACAAGTTTATACAGTATTACTGTATACACATTGTACAGTAGATCTCTAGAACTTTTTCATCTTGTATGTCTGAAACTATACTCAACTGAACAATTCTGTTTCCTTTTCCCCCACCCCCTGGCAACCACCATTCTCTTTCTGTTTTTATGAGTTGGATCACTTGAGATAGCTCATGTAAATGGAATCATGTACTATTCATCTTTTTGAGATTGGATTATTTCACTTAGCATAATGTCCTCAAGTTTCATCCATGTTTTAGCATATGACACATTTCTGTCTTTCTTGAAGCTGAATAATAGTCTGTTGTATGTACATACCATATTTTTTTTATTCATCTATCAGCAGATATTTAGGATTAGACATTTAAGTTGCTTCTATCTTGGCTATTATGAATAAGACTGCTTTGAACATGGGTGTGCAAATATCTCTTTGAGGTCACATTTTAAGTTCTTTTAGACGTATTCCAGAAATTGGAGTGGATCATATAATTCTATTTTTAGTATTTTGAGGAAACTCCATACTGTTTTCCATAGTGGCTACACCATTTTAAAATCCTACCAACAGTGCGCTTGGTGTTTCAATTTCCTCACATCCTCACCAGCACTTGTTATTTATTTTTTTTATAGTGGCCATCCTAACAAGTGTAAGGTGATAGCTCATTATGGTTTTGATTTGCATTTCCCTAATGATTAGTGATGTTGAGGATCTTTTCATATGCTTGTTGGCCATTGGTATACCTTCTTTGAAAAAAATGTCTCTCCAGGTCCTTTGACCATTTTTGAATTGGGTTGTTTTGTTACTGAGTTGTAGGATTTCTTTGTTTCTTTCTTTCTACCTGCCTTCCTTTCTTTTTTCTTTTTTATTCCCCCTTATTTGATATATGGTTTGCAGACATTTTCTTTCATTTTGTAGGTTGTCTTTTCACTATGTTAATTGTTTCTTTGCTATGCAGAAGATTTTAAGTTTGAGGCAGTCCAATTCATCTATTTTTGCTTTTGTTATCTCTGCTTTTGGTATCCTATCAAATAAATCATTGCTCATTCCAGTCATGAATCAAATCTTTTCCCTTGTTTTCTTCTGGAGTGTTATAGTTTCAGATCTTAGATTTAGGTTTTTGATCCATTTTGAGTTAATTTTTGTAAATGGTGTAAGATAAGGATCCATCTTTCTTTTGCATGTGGATATCCACTTTTCCCAGCACCATTATTGATGACACCATCCTTTCCCCATCGTGTAGTCTTAGCATACTGGTCAAAGATAATTTGACCATACACTTAGTGTTATTTCTGTGTTCTCCATTTTGTTGACCTATATGTCTGTCATTATGGCAATATCATATTAGAATGTAGCTTTATAATATATTTTGAAGAAATGATGTATTCTTTGCCAAGATTGTTTTTGGCTGTTTGGTGTACATTAAGATTCCATGTGAATTTAGGATTTTTTTCCTGTTTTGGCAAAAAATGCCATTGGGATTTTGGTAGGAAGTGCCTGGCTGTCTCAGTCGGTGGAACATGTGACTTTTGATCTCAGGGTTGTGTGTTCAAGCCACATATTGGGCCTACAGCTTACTTTAAAAAAAATGTTGAGGGACACCTGAGTCGTTCAGTGGGTTAAGCGTCCCAACTCTTGGTTTTGGCTCAGGTTATGATCTCATGGGTTGTGAGATGGAGCACTGTCATTGGGCTTTGCACATAGCTGGGAGTCTGCTTGAAGATTATCTCCTTCTGGCCCTTCCCCCCACTCATATGCGCATGTGTTGTCTTGCTCTCTCTCTCTAAAATAAATCTTTAAAAAAAAGTGTTGAATTTCTGCATCAGTTGAGATAGTCATGTGATTTTCTTCATTTTGGTAACATTTGTATTACATTCATTTTTTTATATGTTGAATCATCTTTCCATCCCAGGGGTGAATCTCACTTGGTCATGGTGTATTGAATTCAGTTTGCTAATATTTGTTGAGGATTTTTGCAGCAATGTTCATATTGGTTTACAATTTTTTTTTTAAGTGTATTTGTCTTTGGTATCAGAGTAATGCTCACCTCTTAAAATGAGTTTGGAAATGTTCTCTCCTTCTCAGTTTTTTGGAAGAGTTTGAAAAGGTTTGGCATTAATTCTTTTTTAGATGCTTGGTAGATTTCTCCAGTGAAGCCATCTCATCCTAGGCTTTTCTTACTTGGGAGGTTTTTGATGACTGATTTAATCTCCTTACTAATTCCTAATTCAAATTTTCTATTTGTTCTTGATTCAGTCTTGGTTATGTTTCTAGAAATTTATTCATTTCCTCTAGATTACCCAGTTTGTTGGCATGCAGTTGTTCATAGTAGTCCCTTGTAATTCTTTTGCTTCTGTGGTATCAGTTGAAATGACTCTTCTTTCTTTCTTTCTTTTTTTTAATGACTCTTCTTTAATTTCTGGTTTTAGTTGTCTTTTTTTCCTTAATGTAGCTAAGGACTTTCTAATTTTATTGATCATTAAAAAAATCAGTGCTTAGTCTTGATATTTTTAATTTTCTGTTTTATTTCTGCTCTAATATTTATTATTTCCTTCCTTCTGCTAACTGTGGGTTTATTCTTATTCCTTGAAGTGTAAAAATTAGGTTGTTGATTTGAGATCTTTTTTATTTTTTATTTTTTTAATTTTTTAAGATTATTTATTTATTTGACAGAGAGAGAGAGAGAGAGTGAGAGCAGGAACACAAGCAGGGGGAGTGGGAGAGGGAGAAGCAGGCTTCCCGCCAAGCGGGGAGCCCAATGCGGGGCTCGATCCCAGGACCCTGGGATCATGACCTGAGCCGAAGGCAGACGCTTAACGACTGAGCCACCCAGGCGCCCCTTTTATTTTTTTTCTTAAAGATTTTATTTATAAGAGAGAGCAAGCAGGGGGAGAGGGAGAGGGATAAGCAGACTCCACACTGAGAAAGAACCCAATGCGGGACTCGATCCCAGAACCCTGGGATCATGACCTGAGCTGAAGGTAGATGCTTAACTGATTGAGCCACCCAGGCGCCCTGGAATCTTTTTTCTTAATGTAGGTGCTTCCTGCTATACACTTCTCTGTTAGTACTTACTTTACTGGATCCCATAAGTTTAGGTATATTGTATTTTCATATTTGTTTGAAGATATTTTCTAATTTTTCTTGGGACTTCTCCAACACACTGGTTGTGCAGGAGTTTGTTGATTTCCATGTATTTGTGAATTTTCTAGTTTTCCAACTGCTAGAGTTCCAGCCCATTGTGATTGGAAAAGATAACATGGTATGATTTCAGTCTTCTTAAATTTGTAAGACTTGATTTGTGGTCTGTCGTGATTTCACGGAAAACAGTTCATGTGTGCTTAAGAAGAATGTGTATTTTGCTGCTATAAGGTGGAATGAGTGTTCCGTATATTAGGTCCATTTGATAAATAGTGATATTCAGATTCTCTGATCTTTTATTGATCTTCTCTCTGGTTGTTATATCCATTATTGAAAGCCAGATATTGTACTCCACTGTTATTTCCCCTGTCAATTCTGTCAGTGTTTGCTTCATATATTTGGGTGCTCTGCACATGTATTTATATTTGTTATCTTCCAAAGTATGTGGGGTTTTTTTTGTTTGTTTGTCTTCAGAGAGGGTGCTGGGTGGGGGTGCCGAGGGAGAGGGAGAGAAGATTCTTAAGCAGTCTCCATGCCCAGCATGGAGCCAGATAGGGGCTTGATCTCACAACCCTGAGAACACGACCTGAGCTGAAATCTAAAGCCGCATGCTTAACCACCCGAGACACCCAAGGCCCTTCCGGAGATTTATTTCAACCCTTTGATTAGGGCCAAGTTTCCCTGTTTTCTTTTTGTGCTTGG